ATCTATATCCTTTTGAGTGTAGATTCCGCTTGTCGCTAGATTGCCTGGTTGTTCGTATTTCCAAGTTGACTTCATTGATGGTTTGATTTGTTCTGGATCTCTGGCTCTTATAGATTCCTTCAGTATTTGATACCATCGATTTTGAATTTTATACATTGGTGGTATGACTTTATCACAATCTACTTGAATGCCATTTTGCATTATTATCTGTGTTCTTGGACTCAAAAATAATTCCTGTTTTTCTTGACCTACTCTGTAAATTGGCAGCTGATGATAACATTCTTCCGTTGGTCGATATGCTACCTCCACCTCGACACATTTAATTACATGTACAACTTCTCCTGCTGTCACTGCCATGTATCCTGGTCCTTTCATCAATAAATAAGCGATTTCATCAGGTGCCAACGTGGCTAAAACCAATTGGTTTTTCTACACCTGAACTTCTAATTCACATTTCTTCTGCAGGATATCTTGGTACAATCTCTTTACTTGTCCTCTTATGTGCCTCTCTACATAAATTATCTTTGCATTTACATAACTGTACATATCCATATTTGCACTGGACATGACGCCTCGTTCTGCAAATACTCCATCTGTCTCATGAATTATAAAAAGTCTGGGGTGTTCAGTGAGAACAAAATCGTATCTACAAACTGACTGCTGTCCCTTTTTTAGTATAGCAAAGACTACGTCATCTCCCTTCATTGTATACACTGTCTCTTTTACTCCTCCATTCTCTCCAGCTACTAATTGAGCATTTCTCCTATACAATACATCGTATCGTTCAGTGTTGCATCTATCTTCAGGTAAGAAATTTCAATAGGTATTTCCTCGCTCTGAGTCTACGCACGAACCTTCGGTGAAAACACTTGTAGTACCTGACCGTAATCTTATTTTATTATTATCCAAGTTGACCTCAGCATAATAATCATGTATGTGTACTTCTAAAGATCCTTCAACCACTACTTCTTCCCAATTTCCAAATGGGTCATTGTAATGTGATCCTTCACAGTTTCCATTTGTTGATAATTTCCCTGCGAATGTCATATCAAGATTCGTTGTGTCATTTGCTCGTATTCCATATACTCGCTGTTCTATTCCAACTCTAACAAATTTCGTATTGTGCATCTCTCTACATTCCTCCTCTCCAACGTCTTGTCTGTATTGGATATTTCCTGACCTTACTATAGAACTATGAGAATGCATACCACAGTGCATCACTACACGCCTTATCACTTTCTTACATTGTATCACCCTAATACTCTGATATTCCTTGCGTTGTAGTAATTGTAGCCTTACTGTGGTGGAGTTTATCATAGGTGAATATGATGGACATTCTCCTACATCCAATAATGAAAGAGTTGCCACGTTCATATTTCTTGATGCACAATCATATCCTAACATGGCTCCTGCAGGTTGTGCCAGCATGAGTATGATTATACTCGCAAACCAAGTTCGAATAGTCGTGAAGCTCCCCCGCTTTCCTCTTTTCTCTGTCTCTTTCCTTTCTGTTACTTCTCTCTCTCCTGCTCCCTGTAACCTTAGAGTGTATCGTAGTTCTTCATAGTCACGAGTTATTTTCTGTCGTACACTATGACTATATTTTAATTTATGCAACTCTGTAAAACTTTTCTTTATCACATCTTCTGCTGATCTTGCAATTCTCTTCATAGGTAATAATGGTCTCATATCTTCATATATTCCTTCTCCCTTACTATTACCCCCTAGATTTTCTTCTAACTTGATTTGTACTAACACTCTTTCTCTCAGAATTCTGTTCTTTACTCGATAAGCTATATTCAATGCACATTTGCCCCCTGTATTCTTTACTGTATGATGAGCACACTTCTCGTCTGCTAAAGGCAAATCTGGAGTCATGCGTAAATTAATTACTTCTCTTCTTGTATAATGTACCACTATCTCTTCAACTTCGGCTCCCATCACATAAATGTCTCCAACTTTATTTAATATATCTGCTAATTTTTCTAAACTCTGATTCCAAGCATACCCCTTTAGTGTCCATTTAATTCCCAGCAGTGCTTCCTTTATCGTGCAATTATCTCTCTTCTCAGGGCTCATCTTAAAGAAATCATAAGGTGGATCCACTACCCAAGTTTCTATCATTGGCTCATCTACCGCTACTATAGCTATCTCTTTAGGTATCAATTATCCGTTCTCATCATAGAAACCCGTTAAATGCACCACCACTTTTATCCCTTCTAGACTTGGATCCATCTCGTTACCAGTCTAAAAAAAGAAATATGACAAGAATAATTTTCTTCTATTCGCTGTTGCCACTATCAATATTTAATAGTATAAGTCTATTAGGATGCACTACTCTTGCTTAATTTTTAACTTTAATACGTACATTACCATCTGGCATTATTTCTATTACTTTATATGGTCCTTCATATTGATTCTCTAACTTCCCTGATTTCTTACCTACTGCTAGACACACATAATCTCCTACTGTGAATCTTACTTGATTAACTCTTCTGTCATAATATTTCTTTGATTTTTCCTTAGCATGAATCAGGTTTCCTCTTGCTTATTGTTGTAAATCATATATTTTCATCTTTAAGTCTACCAAATAATCTTCATAAGTCATTACATCATCTTTTTCGACCCTGCTCGATGGCAGTCTTGCTGGTCGTCCAAAAACTAATTGGAAAGGTTGATATTGTGTCCCTTCATGTACACTTGTATTGTAAGAAAAAGTGGCCAGCTCTAACCACTCATCCCAGTCTTCTGTTTCCCTATTATTCTATTAATGAGTGATGTAATCGCTCTAATGATCCATTTGATTGTGGATGAAATGCAGTTGTCCTTACTTGCTTTATTTTAAATTTTTTTGCTAACCTTTTCATTAATTTACTAGTCAGATTCACTCCTTGATCGGTGAGAATTGTCTTAGGAGCTCCATATACACATATTACTCTTTTAACCAATCCTCTTGCTATTTCTTCAGAGGATGTTTTGCACAATGGTATGGCTATGGTGAGTTTTGTTAACAAATCTTGTACTGTCAGGATATGTGTATGTCCCTCTTCTGTCTTTGGTAATGGTCCCACTATGTCTAATGCAATTTCATCAAATGCTGCATCTGGTGTATCAGTTATCTGCATAGGTTGTTTTGTTTTTACTCTTTTTAGTTTTTAACTTCCCAGTGGGAAGTTATAGTAATGGGTCCGATTTTGCGAATCGCTAATTTTGACATATCTCCACGTTTTAAGGTCCCCAGAGTTGAATACGATAGTTTTTACGTGGACGTCTGTGTGTGTGTATGTACGTATGTGCGTATATGCGTATGTGCGTATGTTCGTATGTTCGTACGTGCGTTCGGAATTATTTTTCGCCTCGATTATCTCGAGAACAAAAAATGATACCAACGTGGGACCAACTGCATTCGACGCGTAATTACGTAACTTGAAACTGATTAGATTTTCAGCAAGATCGGTCCAGCCATTTTTCATGCAGAATCAAAAAACTGAAAAAATAGTGGACTACCTAAATTCTGCAATTTATAAATTATACCATTTTTTAGACGAAATTTCGAGATCTTTTGAAAAATATAAATATCAAATGTTGAGAATAATTGTACAGAAATATGATGACAGTATTTCATATAAGAAAAATTTTTAAAAAACGAAATCAGCAATAAAGAAATTTTAAACTTGTGTTGGGATGGAGAAAATAGCGTTGAAGATGATAAAATAGTCAATGATTATTGTTAATAATAAGAAATTGTGTTCATAACGATTGAACATTGTTAATAACAAATGATTATCGATCATAATAATATTTGAATAAAAAATTTTTTATTGTTATAAACAACAAAAATAGAGATCTATGCAATATATTTGAATTCTTTTAACGCGTCATTTTTTCTTTTGCTTAAAAAAAGTTAATAATAACTAAATTCGAAAGCCTATTCTAGAATGAATCGACAGTTTTTACGTGGCCGTCTGTGTGTGTGTATGTACGTATGTGCGCATGTGCGTATGTGCGTTTGTGCGTATGTGCAAATATATATATACAAAAAATGATATCGATGTGGGACCAATTGCATTCGACGCGTAATTACGTAACTTAGAACTGAAAAATTTTTCAGGAAAATCGGTAAAGCCATTTTTTTGGCAGAATCAAAAAACTGGAAAAAAAGAAAATTAAATTATAAACAATAAAAATAGGGACCCTTTCTATATATATGAGTACTTTTAACGCATAATTTTTCCGTTTACTAAAAAAATGTTACGAACCGTATGCCATAAATGAAAACATACTTTTTTCGTGTATAACAATGAAATTCGTTGTAAATAATAGAAAAAAAGATCTATGAGGTACATTCGAATTCTTCTAACGCACAATTTTTTCTCTTACTGAAATAAAGTAACTAACCATATCAAATCAATATAAACAGACTCATTTCGTTTATAACAATTCCATTTGTTATAAAAAATGGAAACGGGTTCTATTCAAATTGTTTTTTTATTATTTCTACTGGGAAGTTGGTCGTGTGGACCTTTCGGGTCGCACCCAGACCACTGCAGAGCACTGATATTTTTATTCGACAAGACACACAACTCTTTATATAGTCTTGTACATTTCTCTTCATATCTTCCCAATAATGTCTAAGTCTGATCCTTTGATAAGTTTTCGAGACCCCTTTATGACCCTCTATTGGCGTTGCATGAGCCTCTTCTAAAACAGCTGTATGCTCATTCCATGGGACATACCTGACCTTTCCCAAACAAACCACTACTACTGTATTGACTTCTTCTACACTATCTTTAATATATCTAAACATTTTTTTTCATGTCACTCCGTTTATTGTTTTACTGAAAGCTATAGCTATTGCTTTTAATTTAAATTTTCTCAATAACTCTCGAAAAGGATCCTTCATCCATCTAAAATCTTCTTGATAGTTTCTTCCTATTATTATTGCAATATGTGTTTTCTTGCCTATCTTTATTGTTTTTATTGTTTTCTTTTCAAGATGCTTAAACCTTGGTAATAAGGATCTTTCTTTCAATCTCCTTGACCCTCCATCTTGTGGATTTCCTTCTTCGTCTCCCTTTTCCTGATCTCATAGGTTTATCATCAATTTTTTCTTCTTGCTCCTCTTCACTTTCAATATTTTCATTGTAAATTTCTTTTTCACTGAAATCCCCTATCTCTGAATCTTCTGAGTCAGCGTCTATACTAATTTCTTCCCAGACACCTGACTTGTACCAGCCCTGTGGTGTTTCCTCTTTTTCCTTGCCACTGGCATGCTCCTCACTTTTCTCGAGCTCCTCATGTACTTCTTCGCTGTCTGACCTTTTCTCTTCATTTTCGCTTTTACTACTTTCTTCAGTTTCTTTTAAATCTTCATCCTCACTGGATTTTTCTCCATCTGAATCTTCTTCTAATTCCTCCATCAACTCTTCTTCTGAACTCGAGCTGAGTTCTATGATCTTTTCCGGTCTCCCTCTTTTTCGAGGAATTTGTGCAACATTTTTCTTGACAAATGATTTTTTTGCTGCAATCTTACTGGCAACCAACCCTTTTGTGCTCTTCCTGCGACCTCTTCTACTCTTTTCTTCCCTCTCCAATGCCTGTAGCGTCTTCCTTTTCTGGAACCGCGTTGCATATCTTGGTACTTTCTCTGATTTTTCAGAGCTATGAGCTTTAGATTTATTCTTCGGGTCTGGATTAGCACTGAGAGGCTGTGTCCCTTCATCACGACTGGCGATTTTTCTCTTCTGAGAAACCTTTCGTCTTCCTCCTAATTCCATATCCTTAGTTGGTTGAGTCTTGTCAACTTGATCTGTAGATTTTGATTTTAATTCTGCTGCAGCTTCAGATCTCGTTAACATCATAACCTGCTTTGCCTGGTTGCTATCAACTTCCATATCGGTTTGAGGTGGATTCCTAGAAAGGGCATCTGCGTTGATATTTGTTTTGCCAGCTTTATATACTACAGTAAATTCATATTCTTCAAGTTTTAGTCGCCATCGCGTTAATCGCGAAGTTGGATCCTTGGCAGTCTGCATCCACACCAAGGGTTTGTGATCTGTAACTAGTGTAAATTTCTTACCATATAAATATGGTCTGAATTGTTGCACTGAATGCAAAATTGCTAGAGCTTCCTTCTCAGAAGTACTATACTTTTTGTCATTTTCATTCAATATTCTGGACGTACTACGAATGGTATAGTCATGTCAGGATATTGTAACACTGGCTCCTTACACAGCTCATCTCTTAACCTTTCAAATGCCTCTTGTTGTTCCTGCTTCCATTCGAACGGTAAATTTTTCTTTAACAAATTAGTTAGAGGCTTAGCTATGTCAGAAAACTTGTGAATAAATCTCCTGTAATAGCCAGCTAGTCCTAAAAATTGCCTGATGTTTTTAATGTTCCTCGGCACAGGAAAATTTTTCACCGCTATTATTTTATTTGGATCTGGTCGTACCCCTTTTGCACTGATAATGTGTCCCAGATATGCAACCTCTCTCCTCAATAACTCACATTTTTCTGGTTGCAATTTTAAATTTGCAGCTTTCAACCTACTCATTAGTCTATCGAGCTTTATCATATGTTCTTCTAAACTTTCTGCAAAAACAATTATGTAATCTACATACACAATTGCTACTATACCAATCAGTCCACTTAAAACACTGTGCATCAATCGTTGAAACGTTGCTGTTGCTGTTTTTAATCCAAAAGGCATTCTTTTAAATTCAAAATGTCCTAAATCCGTAGAAAATGCAGTTTTGTGCCTATCCTTCTCATATACTTCAATTTGATGAAAACCTGCTGCTAAATCAAAAATTGAAAAATACTGTGCCTTTCCTACTTAGTCTAAAATATCACATATTTGTGGGATTGGGAAGACGTCTCCCACTGTTTTTCATTCAATGCTTTAAAGTCTAAGACCATACGCCAACGTTTATTCCCTTGTGCATCAGGCTTCTTCGGTACTATCCATAAAGGAGTGTTATACGGTGAATGAGATGGTTGTACAATGTTATTCTTCAAAAGGTCATCAACCTGTCTATTTATTTCATCCTTCAACAGTGGAGGATAACGGTACTGCTTTGTGTTGATAGGTATATCATCTGTCGTTAGAATTTTATGTTTCAAAACATCAGCACACCCTATTTCATCCCCAGGTAGATAATATCTGTCAGAATGTCTCTCGAAATGTTCCCTGATACTGTCCATTTCTTCCTCATTCAAATCCTTCGACTGCATCAGCTCTAGAATCTTTTCAACTCTTTCCTCTCGCTGTACACTAATTACTGCTACATTTGCATTAATTTCTTCTTCATCATCCTCTCTCCTGTACTGTGAGATTTCTTCTAGCTCGATAGCTGGTATTTTAACTTCCGGGTTTGTCACTCGAACATAAAACCCATGCTGTATTCTTGCTGGTATTACCATTGTTTCTTCACGCAGAAAAGGTAAATAACCATTTTCCCACCTTAAACATGTCTTTGAGTACATAACATCTATGTTATTTCTCCCTAAAAAGTCGGATCCTAAAATTCCATCTCTGGTTATTGGAAAATTGCCAGGTACCAACTGAAAATTTACTGAAAATCCCTCAAGTGTAGATGTTATCTCTCCTATTGTGTCTACCAAACTTGGCGTAATCCCTTTTAACTTTAAAATTTTTTCTTTATTGACATATACATCGTCTCTAATTAAACTTCTTTTTATCAAATTAATCTCACAACCCGTGTCTATCATAATTTCCACTGGGCGAATAAATTCTTTTGCATCAATTATTATTGTCGGCGCTATATATTCACAGTTTAATTCAACTGTGGCCACAGAGTATATTCTTCTAGACAATCCTGGGCCGGTGTCTAACTCTCTTCCGATTCCTGAATATGCAAGACCGGGCGCACAATTCGCCCCGTGTCCCGCGCTGCGCCATAATGCGGGAGGGGCTGGCCGTTTTTCTGATTTTGGGCGCCACTACTTCCTCCTCTATTAAAATTTTGAGTGCCTCCTTGGCCTCTATTAATACTCTGAGTACCCCCTGGGCCTCTATTTTCATTAAAATTTCCATATGGGTTAAAATTACGAAGAACTTGTTGCATCCTCTTGTCATTTATACTCTCATTGAAATTTCGATAATTACTTCGTCCTCCCTTTTTACAATAATTTACTGTATGACCGGTCGTTTTACAATTTTCACAATATAAATTCTGTCTTCCATAACTGTTTCCCTCTGTGGTCTTTCCGTTAATTAGTTTGCCTTGGGACGGGCCCTATCCTCCATTTTTTAAGCTATAACATTTCGACGCTCCATGTCCTTTCTTGTTACATAGCTGACAAAGTATTGGATTCGATTGAATCATATTTACTCTATTATAATTTTTCCTGTACTCTATTCTATTTCTATTATTATTCTCAGCTTGATTATTATCTCTTAAACTCTCTATGGCTCTCAACTCTTTCTCCGTAGCTATCGCGAAATCTATTGTCTCCGCTAAATTCTTGTCTCGCGGAACCCGCTGCTCATATGGCGATTTTAATCCTTTAATAAAACATTTAACAAATTCTCTTTCTAAACTCTCAGCTGTAGCTGCATTTATGGCTTGTCCTCCAGCGTTAACCCTATACATCTCCTTTATCTTGTTACTGAGATCTTTTACACGATTCGCATATGTCAAGACTCCTTCGTTGTCCCTTTACACTACTCTTCCCAGCTCTCCTTGCAATTCAAATAGTGTTTTGGTTGGCATAAACATCTTTTTCAAAAATTTAATTAGATCCTCTACATTTTCAAAATCAGTTCCTTGAATACACCGCTGCGCTTCTCCTCTAAGTTTATTTCTTAGCACCTGCACTAACCAACGTTCGTTTGCTGGTGGCACCATTCTTTTGGCCTCCTGACATCCTTCTATAAAATGACTAACATGCGTAGTATTTCGATCAAAGACTGGCACTGCTTCTAACGCGTATTTAATTGAAACAGCAAGCCCCTGGTCATTAACCGCCATTCTGGTTAGATTTCTATTTATTATCTCCTGTCCACCGTTATTTTCCTCTCTTAAATTCTCTCCTATCTGGCTTCTTTCACCTCCTTCTATGAATTATTTACTGTTAAATCTTATTTATTGTTAAAATATTTTATTCACTTATTTAATTCAAAAGGTAAAATAAAAAAGCTAGTATCAAATATTCAACAGTAATGATCTTTTCCCTGGGTTCCACGATCTTTATAAACAAGTGAGTGGAACATAGGTTGAGCACCTACCGGGCGCGTCTCCAGGTGGCGGATAGGAGCATTGTCCGGGTAGTACCGAGTGGAGGCCTCGGGGGCCGCGAGGCGTACCGAGTGCGAACACGAGGGAAGCCGCTGGCAAGTGCAGCTTGGGTGTGTACACACTTTAAGAGGCACCGTGGACCAACTCCCCAAGTCAAGGTGTAAGCCATCGTGCTGAAGACTGAATGGCACTGAGACACTGTGTCGCAAACGATGCCTTTGGGGTATCAGGCGACCCCCCATTGTAGCTAGCCTTACCTGTGCAAGAGGCTCTGCACAGATGGACCTTTATTTCCTCATCACTCGTGGGACTCGAATGGATGACTTAAACAACATTCGGAGTAGTGGGGGTCCTATTTCTTCTGACGAAGAGATAGGATTTGGAAAAGCCGAGGCGGGACGAACCAGCGAGGACGGCGAGGTGCAAACCGAGCTGCCTTGTAAGGAACGACCTGCTACCGGCAAGGAGGATCAGGGGAAGAAATTCGATAAACCTGATCCACCGTCACGCCCCAATAAGAAAAAGCTTTGCGGTGCAGCGAGGAAGAGGTTGAAGAAGGCTAAGCTGCTGGAACTGGAGAAATCCGGGGCTAGCACAGCCGGAGCGAAGGCTGAGCCAAGTCAGAGGAAACTGGGGGCCCCTGTGGTAACCAGCAGAATCTCTGAAGGCAAGGCAATTTCCTGTGGAACCGGGACTGACCTTAAGGTTGAGACCGGAGCCACTAGCTCCACCAAGTCGGGGTCTTCCACCGAAGCCTTGGGTAACACCAAAAGGCAGAGGTCGGAGGATTGCACCCTCCCCGATACAAAATGTCGAGCGAAGAAGGCCTGTAGCACCTGGGCCTGGCAGCTTTGCTGAAGCGGCTGCGGGAGGCCATCGCGCCGGACCTCTATCCTTCTGCGACCCTCAGCAGGCAGCAAGGGGAACTAGTGCTGGCAGGACTTCTTCGGGCCCTGGACGATGCCATCAAAAGTGGCACTGTTCTGGGATTTGAGAGCCACAAACTCGACAGAGGGCTTCTGTGGATCAACTGTCCTGATGAACGGGCAGCCACATGGCTCAAGGTGACAGCCCCCTCCATTAAGGTCTTGGAAGGAGTAAACCTCGAGGTTCTCGAGAGGGAGAAAGTTCCAAGACTCTCCAGGGTCACCGCGACGTTTCCCCGGCCACCGGTGGATCCGGCGGTGATCTTAAAAAGACTCGAAGGCCAGAACGCCGGACTGCACACCAACCTCTGGCGGGTTTGGAGCACGAAGGCGATGCCAACACTGACTAGCTTAGTCATTGGTGTGGACGACGAGTCATTAAAGCTCTTGAAAGGGTTAGGAATGAGTCCTTACTGCGGCCTAGAGAGCTCGATTCTTCGAGGCGCCAAAGGCTGTGGAGGGGAAGCAGGCCGAACCCGGAAAGAGGGAATTACCGGTGGCAGGGACCTCCAAGGTGAAGAACCAGGAGTTGGCAAGGGTGGGGAGGGTCCTGTCTCAGATCAGGCTGACCAACATGGTAAAGCCTGGAGCAGAACCTACGGGTAACCCTCCTACGGGAGAGGGCGCAAGAAGGGACGGTGACATGGCTGGCCCTTCTACGCAGGATTAATCTTCCTCCTACGCTCCCGCATCCCAATCCTATTCCCAACACGCGAAATCAAACGGCGCCGAAATCCCTGTGATATCGGGGCTGTTAAAGATGTCGCAGATTAACTTGCATCACTGCTACACGGCCGCGGCACTACATTGTCGAGACCTAGCGGTGAAGCACACAGATGTTTCCCT